GATGGCTTTGAACTTTGATGTTGGAGAAGGCTCTTGAGAATACCGTGGACAGCCAGTAAAACAAACAAATGGATCATTGAACAAATCAACCCAGAGTTCTCACTCAAGGCACAAATGACCAGGCTCAAATTATTCTATTTTGGAGACATTATGCGAAGGCCTAGCTCTCTGGAAAAGGCTCTAATGCTTGGAAAGGTGGAAGGAAAGATAAGAAGAGGAAGAGCAACAGCAAGGTGGGTGAATTCAGTTATAGTGGCGATGGGAGACTGTTAGGAGACATGAAACAACAAGTTAGGGAGAGATCATCATGGGAAAAATCTATGTGGTCACTAGAAAATGACTTGATGACATATAATCAATTACATATGATGTATGTTTTTGATTTATTAAGTGCCATCAAATCAGTGTTGACTTTTAATGACCACATTGATAGAGTCTTTCATGCATGTTTCTACATGCTAATAAATAAGACACATAAAAGCTACCTCAGAATTTCTTCCAGTAATAAGAAGAAATAAGTAGGAAGTAGTAAGAGTAATTAAGAGTCCTATTACAGTCATTGTAATAGGAGCAGCAAAAGAAGGTGGAAGCTAAAAATTCTAATATAGCAAATACAACCTTTCATTGCTAAATCTATGATTACACATGCCTTTCTCAGATTGTTTGATATATTCAATGGTATTTAAAGATATACTTGTTGGTGCTTTTTCAGGAATCAGAAAAGTTAACCATTTTAACAACTTATTTAAGAGAAGAGTATCTCTATTGCATCTGGTGTGGAACAGCCTACCAAGGTAAACTTAAATCTTTTTTTTAAAAAAAAACCCAAACAACTTAATTCAACGTTTATTTTTTTACTTTAAAATGAATGTTGTTTCTTTGGTCCATTGCTGAATGCACAGGTAACATTGTAATTGCAGTAACTGAAATTCAGGGTATGAAACAGCTGTTGATCATTGAGAATATATCATTTGCTATGAGACCAATCATATATGGAATAGAAATCTAAGCTAAGCCAGAAAATCCAATAGATTTCACATACACATCTCTTTATATTTTGGAAGATATAGAAATAACTTTTTAAGAAACTTTTAAAAAATTACATTCTGTGGAATTTACTTATTTGTTCCTAATCCATTATGATTGCATTCCTTTTTTTATTACTTGCAAGAGAAAATAGAGTTTTCCTTCAAAAATTTGATTTTCTTGTCAAGTTTCAGGATGTTTACTATAGCAGTGGATTTTTTATATAAAAAAGGAAGTCCTAATTATCCCACCATGTATTTCAGTAAGCTGTTATGTTCACTGTGTGCAAAACATTGATATCTCAAAATGTTTCCATCTTGAAAAGCGTTTTGAGGTCCAAACAAAAACGTCTCTGTTGTATATGGTTTTTAATGGCCTAGTATGGTTGGTTTTGTGATGGTGTGAGCCAGCAAAAGGAGAGAGAAAAAGAAGAAGCTCAGTTCTAGCATTGAAGTGCAGATGTATTGTCACAAGGACTGATGAGCTGATCTTGCTGCTAGCCAGGACTGCTGTGGGGCAGAGATAGACAGCATTCCCATTGGCCCAGCCTTGTATGTAGGTGTTGCTGGGGGATATGCTGCTGGTCTAACCCAAAATTGGAGAGAGGAGAGGAAAGAAAACAAGGGAAGAAACAAGGAGAGAGAAATACAAAGACTCTTCTAGAAGGGAGTGGCTGGAGAGAAAAGTTGCATGAGTGTGCAGAGTAGTGGTTGGATCCCAGGTTGGTGAGGGAGAAGAAAAGTAAACTGGTTGCTCCCCTGGAGGAAGAGAAGCAAAGTCCCAGAGAGACGGCATCTTCATCCAAGGTGCAAGACGGGAAGGAGGGAGACTGCTGTCTTTGGCAAAGCCCTAGTCTCTGGGGAAGGACTGAGCAGAAGCCTCTGAGAGAGGTTCTTCCCCCAATGGAGGAGACACAGATGATGATCAGCTGAGCAGATCCAAGGAAAGGAGATGAGCGCTGCTGAGTACAATTATTTATAAATCCAACACATTCCTTATTTTTATTCTCTCTTGATAATCCCAAAAATGGGAGAGGGAGTGGAGGAGGAAGAAATTAAGCATTTAGGAGAATTAGAGGGGAATAGTCTCTGATAGGGAGAAACCAAAACCCTGTAAAAGCTGGGATCTTGTTGTAAATACCTATTGTAAATACTTTTGCTGTAAATCATAAAGGAGAAGCATAAAAACCTCCACTCACTATCTCAATTTCTCTGTATCAATTGCCACCCTTGGAAACCTAAATACCCCTCCAGTTCTAAAAGAACCCAGTCACACTGTGACAGTCTCCTAAGGGTTTTGTTTTGAGGTCAGAATAAACCTAGCTGTGCTGTTGTGACTTGGAATAAAATTTGGCAATTTTAAGCAGTATCATCCTGTGTGTTCCAGGCATAGAAAACAAGCTTGGAACTGCCCATTTCAGAGTATTCAGAGCTTGAAATTGGAATACAGTCAACTCAGAACATTTCAGATGGGCTATTTGCTTTAAGCTTGAAACGAAATACATTTTCCATTTCAAACCTCTAATCTAGTATGTATGTTGCTTGTTGTAAACCTTTGCAAATTTCTTTTTTTCTATTTTGCAGATCAAGAAGATCTATCTTCAAATTGCCCTGGGAGCACATATATGGATCATGAATAATTCTATAAAAATTCCAAACAGTAGCAAAATTCTGTAATCTCAGTGAAGAGCAGAGATGTGGATGCTACTGCATATTTTTCATTGAGCAAATTGGTCATTTTTCACTGCTTCTTGAGCTCTTCCATGTTTGGATATAAAATGGGTTTTCTACAACTCTATTTAAAAATTCTTTGGAATAGGAACTGTAATTTGTTGTTATTTTTCCAAGTTATTTATTCTTTTTTAAATCCTGCTGTTTGTTTCTGAAAAACAAAATTAAAATGTAACATGACTGACTCTAGACTCTGCAGATTTGATAAATGCATGTTCTGGTCTCAACAAAATAAAATTTCAAGAAACCCTAAAATAATGAATTCAGCAGTTGGGAGATAATCCTGTATAGGTTCACAATAAAACTGTGAACATGGGATTTCATGAGGGGTTCATATGAAATGATCTATCAGCCAGCACACACAAAACCTCATGCTTTTTTTCCCCTTCTTTTTTAAGTTTCTTAGCTTTTTAAGCCAAAGTTATTATGCAACACTGAGTTAATGTATAGAAATACAGCTGCGATTTATTTGCTTCATGCACCATCATTGCTGGGTTAGTCATTGATTTGTGTTTAGCTTAAGCTTGTGGTAATCTTTGTGAGCAGCTTTTCTACAAACCCTTCCTTATGGTTAAAAATAGGAATTACCTGGCTGGCAGCATGATGCTGTCTTCAGCCCTTGGGGCTCCTCTGTGCCAGTAGACATGTCTCATGATGGATGGTTTTGGCCATCCATCTTATTTCTTCAGTGATCTTTTCCAGACAAAACTCACAAATACTTCAGAAGTCTTATCCCAAGGTTCTTTGGAACAAAATGACCTTCAGCAGCCAGCGAAACAAGTACTCAGGCTTTAACTAGTTCATACAATTAAATTTGGCTACAAATCCACATTGGACATTCTTCCAAGTTGCCATTTTCCCAACCAAGAGATTTTTCAAAAGGAGATGGAAATTTTCATTGAGATTCAGGGGACTACCAGAAATATTTGTACAGTTTCATCTGTTAAATACTTATTATAGTCTAGCTCAGCCTTTCTCAAACTTTTTACTCTGGAGGAACCCTTGAAATAATTTTTAGGACTTGGGGAACCCCTGCATAAAAATTTCAGCAAAACCGTGCCTAAAATTGTGTATCTACAGCTCAGGGTTCATTGGCATGATCAGTAAGTTGTAGATATAATAATCCACTAATAATTGTCAATGCTTTTGAGCAGATAATATTTTTCTGTAGATCTGTTTATTTTGGCCAACTTGTTAGCCTTTCCTTTTGGTTTGATTCCCCCTCCACCGCAAAGGATATAATTCCTAATGTAAGTCAGTACTGTGGGTAGAGGAAACTTCAGTTTTTCCTTTTAAAAAAATTCCTGCTTGATTTCTTCTTTACTTTATCCAAGGACGCCTAAATCTTTTACTCTACAAGATGTTAATGAGGAAGGGTTATGTCCAAGAGTAGTTTTTTTCTCTATTTAAAACTAATATTTTACCACACCTTCCCTAATTCTTGAAAAAAAAAAACAGGTTAGCTTAGGCTACCTTTCTTGAAATTAATATTTCTTTCCCTTTCATACATTTTAAAAAACCTAAGGCAAACATAATTTCTATTAAAAAAACAAGCTTGAAACAAAATGTTCAGAAAGTTTGTTTGTTTACAATCACAATGTCTCACAGATCCTCTAGCCACTTCTTGCAGAACCCTGGGGTTGAGACCAATTGAGAAATGCTGGTTTAGCTTTTCCAGACATCTTTTTCCATAGATTTTTTTTCTTTGTTTTCTTTTGCACAGGCTAGATAAATTACACAATTTACATTATTTTCATGTGTAAAAGCCACTGAGTTTCATTGCCTCTAGTGAAACCCAGAGGGGTTGATTTCTTTCTACTCCCTGAATGTACTCCAAATCTGCATACAAATATAGAGTGATCATGAGGAGAGTTTGGGGAAGGGATAGTTACAAGGAAAAAAGTGTTCTAGTGTATGAGTATTTCACTTTTGTGGCACTAGTTTCCATCCCCACAACTGTAAGCACAATTTTCTACAGGTCTTTTAATTTTAATAAAGACCTGAGGTTAACGTAAGTGGTGTTTTCCAGAGAGGTGGTGTTTCCAATTCATATCCAAGACAAATGAATGTCAACTCTTAAAATTTGTGAATACTTTTGAATGTTCAATATTACTGCATAAATAAGACCCAAATTGTGATCTGTTTTCCACACAAGTCCTAAAACTAGATAAAGGGAATACAATTAAAGAAATGAGTCAAAAAACATTACACTTGTTCACTGATTTAGAGGAAAATAATCCAAAGCTATATATTGGTGTGTGGCAAAAGTATTTGAACCTCTAGAATTATCCGTTCATTTGACAGGGACATTAGAGTCAGGTGTTTCAATCAATAGGATGATAATCAGGTGTGAGGGTAGGAGGTCCTGTCTTATTTAAAGAACAGAATTCTGGATCTCCACTATCAGTCTGATCTTCACAACACAGGTATGTGGAAGTGTGTCATGGCTCAAAGAAAGGAAATATTGAAAATTCAAAAGGGTTCACAAACTTTTAAGCACCACTGTATATATAGGTTGTGTTCACATAACGTGGTAGAACATAGCTAAATTACAATGGCAAAATTCAGTAAGTATGCAAGCTGATGCATTCTGGACCAGCTGTAATTTTGAAGTAATCTTTTAAGGGCAACCCCATGTAAATTACACTGGGTGTTAACAGAGGTATGAGTGGCTGTAGCTGGGCCCTCCTGTCCCAGATACAGTGGCAATTGGTACACCAACTGAAGCTGGGTGTGGACTCCTCTAGTCATGACTTCCACCTGCTGTTCAGGCAGGAGCCATGAGCCCAGAAGGACTTGATGGGTTCATTTTCTTCTCAAGTCATAGCATATGTTAATACAATTTTGGGAAAAACACAATTGTTAAAGATGTAAATGTGATGCTGAATAACCCTCCAAAAACATGGAATTGAACATTTTGTGAAGAACTCTGGCTCTGGAGTCAATTAGGAGAATCATCTTACACAACACTGGAAAGAAAACAATACTGTAGAAGTGAATTCAGGAGATACGTTGTTGATTTTTTGAATTTCTTTATATTGTAGAAATGAGAAGTTAGAACAGTATATGCTCTAGATGATACATTAAAGGACTGAGCTAGCTGTATGTTTAGATTCCGTTAATCTTTTCCCCCTTTTTTGAAGTTCTACTTCATTTTATCACTATTATAGATGCTTTTTCAACTTTTGGTTATATCTTCACTGTTGTATCATTTTTTGATTTATTAAATTTGACTAATATGATTAAAAAATACCATTAAATGGTTTAGAGTATCATTCAAGCACAAATGCAAGACAGTGTACTAGATTGTATTTTATAAATCTGTTTTAGAAGCAACATAATTATAAGCACTGTTACATGCAATAGAAAAGAAAAAACAGTCACAGAACTTTTCAAAAATACTGCTGCATAAGTTTTCAAGCATCACTGACTACTTTAACAAATGCATGGTATATGGAATTGCTGTGCAAAGTACTTGAAAGCAGTTGAAACACTCTCTAAGCATTAAAGCAGCTGTGTCTTCTATAAGACTCACATGGCTTCTTCAAATTGGCACATCTTGAGGGAGACTGTAATTCCCTCAACATCCATTGGGAGACAAATATTGCCAAGCATGGTCCTTTCAGGAAATTTCTAATTTATATAGCTGACAACTTTCTCCTTCAGAAGGTAGAGGAAGACACAAGAGGATTAGCTATCCCTGACTTCATACTAATAGGAAACACCTAGTCAAGGAAATGGAAATACTAGGAACATTGGAAGAAAGTTATCTTATAATGCTGGAGTTCTTGATTTTAAGGCAAACTAAAGCTAAGCGTAGTTAAAAGTGTTATCTTATACTTCCGAAATAGTTGCCCATCTGTGCATTATAATATAAAATTTTGATTTATGGATTTACATCTACAGTTCTACAAAAAACCCAAACCATATCATTTATAATCTTTTTATAAATCAGTAGGTCCCCCAAGAGTAAGTGAAGCTCTTGATAACATTCATTTGCAAATATTCAGAAATCTTAAGGGAAGTGAATACTCTTCCACAGAACTGTAAATCACATAGTACCATCTTTCACAAAGCAAAGGATAGCAACTAACACTTGATACAAGTAGTTCCATGAGTTAGAAGAATGATATTAATTTCTCTCGACAGTATTAAACATAACTGCATAACAGTAGTATTAAAATACCACATTAAAACTCCTTGTAAAAAAATCCAGATACATCGGATTTTCATTATGTGCTTACACACAGCATACAGCAAAAGAAACAGGCATGAATCAAAATCCTGTGTTTTGACAGAAGTTCACTAACGAGTGTGTCGGCTGTATGGCTGGCTTCCTAGGAATGTCAAAAGATCAGCTGCTGATGGTCTTTGAGATGGCTCTTTGGAAAGCAATTTTTTAATTAGAGAAGCCTGTAAATGAAGAAGAGAATATTAATATAAAAATGATGGTGGACAGGATTAAGAAAAAACATGGAAATGCTTTGCAGAAGTATACCTCTTTTGTAAACTTCTTGATGAATGTTTCTGGAAGCTTGCCTTCTCTGATGTTGTGCCATTCCTGAAAAAATCACAGTGTATTTAATTGTCACTAGGTGGCAATTACAGTGGTTAAATTCAAGTATATAACTCTACATTAAAGGATTTGTATGCCAAATTTCAGAAAACTAGTGGTATGTCAACAGAAAAATTCCACATTAAAACAATAGTTAAGAGTATTTGCTAGAAGTTACAGTATGTCAAGAATAATATTCACTGATAAGGAATACACATAAGGGAATATTCCCATCCTTTCCTTTTTTGCTGTCTGTACAAAGAGGTAGTTTATCATGCTTGTACATCTCTATTCATATAAATCTCAACGAATTCCCATATCTACTCTTTGCCCATGCTGACCAGTGGAAATTAGGCTAAAAATGTGTGTTTATATGGGAAGACTGACTGGTACTATTTGGTGTGATAGCACAGGGATGCACTTATATGCTTGTATTCATAAGTATGTGAAACAGTAATATGTATATTACAAATATAATATAAATATATATGAAACAGGCCAAGTTCCAATCTACGTACATATAGACATAAACTCTATCACTGGGCCTATAAAAAGTTACAACCAAAGTTCTTCATTCATATGCAAATTAACAGTCACCCATGGAACTCCCCAACCCAAAGTGTGATGATATAAAGATACAGGTAGTCCTTGAGTTACAACTACAGTTGGGACTGGAATTGCCGTTGCTAAGCGATGCAGTCATAAAGCGTGAAGGCATGTGACCGCATCACTTAACAACAGCAATCCAGACAGTCCAAATTGTTGTTTAACTCCATTCACATGGGTCGTTAAGCAGGAAGCAGAGAAAGTCCCAGGTAAAGAGTGTCAGGGTGCTGCAGGGGGGTGGGGGAGGCCCAACACAGGCTGCAGGTGAGTTGGGGGAGGGGGTGCTGTTTTGCTAGTGCAGCAAGAGCTCAGGAAGGGGAAAAAGTGTGCAGGGTGCGTCCAAGTGCAGGGAGGCTGGGGTAAGAGCACGGGGTCAATGCAAGCACAGGGAACAGAGGAAAGAGGGCCTGGGGTGCGTGTGAGTGCAGGGTGGAAGGAAGGCATGGTGTGTCCAAGCAAAGAAAGGCTGGGAATGGGGAAAACTTACCTGAGTGACTTGAGACCTTCCTTGTTGGCTTCCCCATTGACTGCTTGTGGGAAGCTGGCAGGGAAGGTCACAAATGGCAATTACGTGACTGTGGGACACTGAAACCTGTCTAAGTGCAAGCTGGTTGCCAAGTGCTCGAATTTTGTTCACGTGACCACAGGGGCACTGCAACGGCTGGAACTTTGAGGACCAGTCGTAAGTCCCTATAGTGGCAATGCAGAAGGCCATTGTTATTTCAAGTTTAGGTGATAGTTTGATTTCTCCTGCACATGTTAAGAAAGCTCACTTTGAATCATAATAGTGTTTAGCTGGCTTGTTTTTCAGTTTTAATTAGAAGTGGGAGGGGAGTAACCCTCAGGATTGTTTAGGTTAAGCACTGTGATGGAATGGAATTATGAAGGCCAGGTTCAGGGAGAAAAACATTTTCTTTCATCTCCTGCAGGATTGTTTAGGTTAAGCACTGTGATGGAATGGAATTATGAAGGCCAGGTTCAGGGAGAAAAACATTTTCTTTCATCTCCTGCAGGATTGTTTAGGTTAAGCACTGTGATGGAATGGAATTATGAAGGCCAGGTTCAGGGAGAAAAACATTTTCTTTCATCTCCTGATTCACAATGTTGTGGCTGGCATTACTTGGGAGCTGGGGTTTCAGTCTGGGCAGATTCTTGCTAGAGGTTGTAGCTAATAAACATTGCTAGACTGAATTTACATGGTCTCTTGGAGTTCCTTGAGATAGGCCTGACAAGCACTAGCTTATCTATACAGTTCTCAGGCTTTGGAATTTTTTGATGAGCAGGTATAACATCTGTTCAAGGTCACTTTCAGAGCCCCTGACTCCAAAACAGAGTCATGGGATTGCAGTGCCAGACTTTAATAAAACCCTGGCATTGTCCCTGGAATTTGCAGCATGGACACAAGCCTTGGGACTAGGCACAGTGTTATCTAAGCCATCCTGAGGTCTCTCTGCTGTCGCCTTATGGTGGCTCCCGACAGTACAGGAAGGGTTTTATCATCTTGCTTGAGGACTACCTGTATGTACAACTCTTACCAACCAATGAGCCTGATTTTTTCACGTTTTCTGCACTGATGTTGCCTAGTTTCATAGCAAAATGTTTGCAACACCCAAAACCTAGCTCAGAGAATTCTAACTACATAACATGTAAAATGATAGCCAATAATTGGTACATACAGACTCCTATGGATTTTTAATCAGCAGATGAAAGAAAAGTTGAGAACTTGGTCACTTTTCCTTACAAAGATAATCCTCCTCTCCATATCTCTGCTGTGGCTCCCACACCAAGGCCCCCTCCTTGTGAATATGATGAATGAATAATTTTCATCCTTTTGCTCAGCCAGTTAATGTATAAAATTTTTGTGTGAACTATTTTAATTTATTTTTCTTATATTATGTTACATAAGTCAGTCTGAAAGCAACTAAAAAGCAGCATGAACAGGTTTCTCCTGTCTTTATGAGAAATACAGGCAGGCAGATTTAGGAAAAAAATGGACTATTTACCTTATACTTCTCATGGTCAGTGGGAAATGGGAAAAGCATTTCGTACAAAATTAATCCTAATGGAAAGATATCTACTTCCTTGTCATAACTGCTTGTTTCCTATGGACAGCATAACACAAGCATGTTAGATACTTTTATACTTTAAGACAGAATCCATTTTGGCATTTTTCAAATTTAAAAACAGAGTACAGTGAATTTTATTTCAAATATATGTGCAATCCCTATTCAGCTGTAGGTACATTTTATTAAAAGTTTTCAAAAGAAGATAAAAACTAACAAAAACTAATATAAAGTAGAAAAGAAGCAAAAAGAGAGAAAAAAGAAAAAAGTACAAAAAGAAAAGATAATAAGAAATAGTAGAAGCTTCCGATTGTCTTTGTAGCAAATACAATTACAAAATTATCTCTTACTCTATGGTTACAAAAAGAAAAGCTCTTTTTTTCCTATTATCTATTCTTTTTCTAATCATCAAAGCCAAATCATAAGTTCATTTTTTTTCTGTTTCATGCATCTATAAGGGGTTTCTAGTCATCAATAAATGTAGATATTGTCTTTTCTCTAATCAAAGAAATCAATTTAGCCATCTCTGCAAGTTCCATCATCTTCACCAACCACTCCTCCACTGTGGGTAGTGCCGAATCTTTCCACTTTTGAGCATCTCACTGCAGTTGTCATGTATAAAAACAAAGTTCCATGATGTTTTTTCCAGCTTCTGTCCATTACTCCCAAAAGAAAAGCCTCTGATTTCAATTGTATATTAATGTTTAAACTCTTCTGAATTCATGTATATTTGTATCCAAAATTTTGTGGCTTTTTTACATGTCCACCAAACATGATAAAATGTCCCTTCATGTTGTTCACATTTCCAGCATAAATTCAAAGTACGTTTATACATCCTAGACAATTTATTTGGTGACATATACCAATGGTACATCATTTGATTAAAAAAAATCTCTTTAATACTAGAACATAATGTAAATTTTCAACCTTTCAACCACATATTTTGAAATTACAATTCATATTTGTCATAGTGATACCCAAATATTTTACCACCTTCTCAATCTTCAAATCCATTTTATTCATCAGTTCTGTTTGATCTTGTAGTTTTCATATTTTTTTTGGTAACATTTTGGTTTTCTGTTTATTAATCTTAAAATCTTCTAGTGCACCAAATTCTTTTAATTTACCTGTTAATTCAATTCCCTTTAAAGGATCTTCCAGAATCAACACCAAATCATCTGCAAAAGCTCTTAACTTACAAGTCTCTTTTTTAACCTTTACACCTACAGTCCTCTCATCTTGTCTTATGCCTCTACTCATTATTTTAAGAACTAGTATAAACAGGAGAGGGGACAATGGGCAGCCTTGTTTTGTTCCTTTTTGTATCTCGCATGGTTTGGTTAAATCTCCATTAACAATTATTTGTGCTGCCTGTGAAGTATAAATCAATTTTACCCATTTTATAAAATTCTGTCCAAAATTCATATCTTCCAAAACTTTAAACAAGTCCTTTTGCATCCTTTTTTCTGATATGAGTCTCTTGTAGGCAAATAATGTCTTGTTTTAATTTTTTCAAATAATGATTTTTTTTTCTCTTTTGAGGATCATTAGCTCCATTTATATTCCATGTTATACATTTGTAATCCATAATCAGGCCAAACATTTAGAAAAGTCAATACCTGTAGCACCTAATTCAGTATCATCCTTTTCCAGTTCCTGTTGCATCTGTTGTGATTTTTATGTAATTTCCTCTGAAACCTCAATTTGCATCTCCTCCAATTCTTCTTTGAATCTTAATAAGAAATCTCTTGCCTTCTGAACAGAATTCAATCTAAATCTCTGCTGTTTAAAAGTAAAAATCACACCTTCCAATTTATCCCATCGAAATGGGATCATTTTCTGTTTTAATCTTTCAGCCAAAAAGGTGTATTCTTTTCTCTTATGTAATCTTCTAATAGGAATTTATTTCAAAATAATTATATCTGAATTATCCATTTTTAATCTTGTATTAAAATACTGCTGCAGAACTTGACCTCTTATCTTCTTCCTAACAAAATCCACCAAAGTATTCCTTGGAACATTTCTTGTTCTGGCAAATCTAAAATTTATTCTATAAACTTTATCAGTTTCTGTCTTGATATCTTCCTCTTCTCAATCCAGAAAATTAGCCAAGGTTTAAATAATCCTTTCTCTAATATCTTTATCAGAAACCTCTAGAATAGCTCTAAATCTCCAACAAAATTCTTTCTCTCTCAGTTCCAATAAAGCCAGATTGTATAATTCTCTTTCCAACTCTCTATCTATAACCTCTGTCTTACTCTCTAAAAAGGGGGGGGGAGGGGGGAAGCTTGCCATTTCCTTTTGCCTGTTTGAGATACTTTCATTTTGGATTATAATATATAATGGCAACTACTAGAAAATTGGCAAGAGAGGGCAGAAGAAGATAGCTAGAACAGCCTGCAGAGAAAACTGTTACACCAGATTTTCTTCAGAAACTATTTGATAGATAGAAGCTTTTGAAAAAAGAATGGGTGAAAAACTTGCAAAAATAAAGAGGAGATAAAAGAAAAAGTCAAAAAGTTGGAAAATTCTATAATGCAAGTGCCTGGAGAGGTAAAACAAATTAATGATAAAGTAGAAATGCCATTCAGCTTTGTGCATATCACTAACTGGCCTCTTCAGACAGTAAAACAGGGTTGGGGCCAAAGAACTGTACACAGCCTTAAGCTTTTGAGGAAAAATGCATGGGAATAAATAATAACATCAATCACAGTTAATTTTCAGCACAAGAACATTTATCTGGAGAACTTCCATGGAATTTTCTCTTAGATGAAATGGAACAACTCAGTGCTTTTTGGGATGTAGGTGCTCCATTTGTCAGCTATTTTAAGAGTCTGACCTCAAATTTAACACAGTAGAGAGAACTCACAAATGGAAAACTATACAGTATATGCAAAGGAAATTAACAAATGCCTTTGAAAAGGAATTTCAGTGCATACACATGCAAGAATTATTAACAAAACTTACCTGCTCAGGTGCCATGTATGGCACTGTTCCCTTGTTCATTGTCCGTTGTACTGAAAAGTCTTTCACACCTGATGTAACCAACCCAAAATCACCTATTTTTATTCCATTGTCTTTATAAAAAAATATATTTAGAGGCTGTAAGAGAAAAACAAATGCAAATACAACGAGGAAATACTTTATATTTAGGCATACAAGTAACAATTTTTTTTCCTAGGACAGCATAGGTCAATTCAAGTACTGATTTTGGGGTTACAAATACATTTTTGCAAAAAAGTGAATTCACAAATATGGAACTCGTGAATAACAAGGATTGCCTCTAACTGACAGGGAGGGTAAAAGCTGACAAAGTCAAAAGCAAAGGGCATGTAACCAGATTCATTATGCTAAGAACATACATGTAAAACCTATTATGAGAAATGAAAGGCTCTTACTCCCTAAAATGGAAGAGTGGGAGAAAGAGACACAGGATTTGAACCTTAGGAGTGCCATATATAAGGACTAAATTCTAGAGCTTTCAGTAGCTTGTTGTCTTCCTCATGAAGGGCTCTTCCAGTATCTGCACAAAAACTGCTAGTAAGAATCTGTCTCTGAATCTCTGGCTCTGAGCCTTCTAATTCAAGTATCAATCTGAGTAAACCTTGACATGATATGATGTGGAAGCGCTAAAGGAGTGAGGGAAAGGATTGTGGCCAATTCACTTTTTTCTACATGTTCATTTGTAAAAGTGAAATGCATATAAGAGGACAATAGTCAAATTGTAAGGACTGAAGCTATCAAAGCAGGAACCAACATTGCCCAGATCAGACATAATCTTTGTGTGACCACGGAGCAGGTGAATTTCAATATCAAGGCTGAGAGAAGAATAGTTCTTCTTGAATGTTCTTCAATGTTCATTGATCCAAAAGGGTGAAAAGTAAAAATTTTAATCCTGAGATGACAGATAAATAAATGAATTTCCTCTAACGAAATTTAATTTTATTAGATTTATAACCTGTCTTTCATTCAGAAGCTCAAGGCAGCATACATAGCACTCTCTCCTCCTATTTTTTCCCTGGAACAACCACCATTGAGGTAGACTGGGCTGAGAAAGAGTGATTGGCCCAAGGTGTGCTTCCATGGTTGTTGGCTAGACTAGGACCTCCCCACTCCCCACACCCCAGGTCCCACTCCAACATTATAACAATTACATCAAACTAGCTCTCACCAAAATCTCAACCTAATTCTAGGGCTTAATTTCTAAATTTTGCATCACACAGATCTTCCGCATAAATATGGCTTCTTTCCTGTCTGCAATAAAGCAACTGATCCAGAATATTGAACCCTGAAGTTTCTGCTGTTATCTAGGCCTGAATGCAGGGCTGAATTTCAGGAAGAATACTATAGAGATTTATGGCCAGGTCTGTCCTGATGTTTTACACAAAGGGAGCAAGTCACACTTCAGATTCTGGGCAATAAGTGATTCACAGAAAACAAGGAGCCTATATAATTTAATCAAAATTCTGAATATTGAATAGGTAGTTTTATTTTTGTAATACATACTGTGAACATTTAGGAAAGAACTTTCAAAAACTTTCCAGTAAGAAAAGTTAAGATGGCAATTTTGGTGTTATCATCTATCTATCTATCTTTCTCAGAGCTGGTATTTTGAATTATTGACTATACGCACCTTGAGATCTCTATGAATGAAGTTCTCAGAATGAATATAATTCACTCCTTCCACTATTTGCTGAAATATAATTATAGAATCATCTTTACAGGGGGACATTCCCATTCTTTGTATCCACTTTGCTAGATTTCCCTTTTCACATAATTCCATTTGAATGAAGAGGCAGTCAAATAGCTCTGAGCTGTTAAGAATTTAAGAGAAAAAAGATGATAATATTAAAACTATCCTCCTCCCAATTGCTTTATGGAAATCAGTGGTAGATCCAATTGTTTGTATCCATCTGACCATTTTGTTTATTTATGGGGTTCAGATACAGCTGAGAACTCCATGATATAACTAACTCTGCTTTGAGTAAAGCTCTGAGCTATCAGGAAAAGCCAGTTTCTACACTAATGCCAAATGGTGACAGGAAGCACAATTTAATTTAGATAATTAATTTAGATAAAAACATTAGTGAATCAAATATAGAAAATAATCCAATAAAATTATTTGCTCATAAAGGCTAAATAAACGCAGGCACTCTTGGTGGGCATTTCCCTTCCTCTTGCGCAGCCTGCACCTCCGAGACCAAAATGGCTCCTGTCCTTGCAGTCTTCCAGAACCTGGCCAAGACTGTGCTGTGAGGTCCTAGAAGTAGTAATAGTCTGAGTGGGCCTGGTGCCAGAATATGAGGATGCAGTTAATAAGTGGTTATTTGATTGTATTAACGTTCTATTGTATTATTACTCTATTGTTATAATAAAAATAACCACCACTTAAAGTCTTGTTGGGTTGAAGTGCTTTAAAATAAATAAGCCCTGATATGGAAATGTTAATGATTTGACTGTGTGAATACGGCCCCATGCCAATTTTCCTTTTTATTTCAGCTTTCTTTGTAATAAAAGGGAGGACACTTTCTACCTAATTATATTAAAGATAAATTGTGTGCATTTAAGACCATAAGATACAAGTCTGAATGGAATGAATTGAGCAGAACATGCCCAGTAACAGCTAAGCTAATAGTGTAAGCGAACAGATACACAAAACTTTTCCTTTTTAAAAAATTACAGATTATGCAATGATGAAATTACCTGCTATCACTGGTATCACACGACTGGAAAGTGTCTTGCCCAATCCAACAAGTGAAATATTGAACAATGTGTGGATGTTTAAGTGCTGCCAAGGCTTTCGCTTCTCTTTTTCTTTCTTCTTTCTTGCTGTTATGGTTAAGCCAGAACAATAATAATAATAGTAACAACAACAACAACAAAAACCCCTAGTTGCTAACAATTGGTCCAAAAGACTATACTGTAGAATTATTTCCAGAAGCAGCTGCTTACAAGATTAATTAACATACAAGTTTTGCTACAAAAGGGAACAGGGATCTGATTTCTGCAAGCATGTGTCAGAAAGTATATCGCAGATAATGAAATCTTAAGATAAAAAAGGAAATCTGAAAAATTAATGATATACCTGAGTTTTCCTATTAATATCAGAAAGGTACTAATGGAAAAATCAGACTTCACAACAAACAATAGCATACAGAAGTTCACAGATTAGATGAAGAAACATCTCTATTCTTGTCTGCTTTTCTTAGTTCAGGTAAACAAAATCAAGTCACACAGAAGTCTCCCTCTAACTCTACTTTTTACTAGGTAAGTGATGTCCCTCACAGCCTAAGAAGCAGAAAGAAAGAAAAAAAGTTCCATATTGAAACTTTCCTGGTGGCAAATGCAGTTTGCATTATCTGTGGACAGGCAGGTCAAGTTTTACATACTAGAAGTATTTTCAAAGCACAGCAAAATGATATAGGACAAACAGCTGTCCCTATTCTACAACTGATTCTAGATACATTAGTAACTCTGCCTTCTTGCATGTAAAATCTGAAAGGCTCTCAAATAATTTGTGACTTATTAAAAATGAATGCCCCATAAGTCATTAGGACACCACCTAAACTCTGTTTCAGAACCTGTTAGAACTTCTGTGTTCATGCACAGTCCTGTATGTATGAACAAGGACCACTGTGTACAGAGACCGGAGTATAACCAATGATGTTAATGTAGAAAATTACAATAGTTTAATTAAAATAAAAACAAGCACAGCAGAACTTACCCTGAAAGTCGGATGCGTTTGACAGCATATAATTTATCGTCAGTGATATGCTTTGCCTTGAAGACATTCCCAAAGCCACCAGAACCAATTTTCTTTATCTCTTCAAAGTCGTCAAGAAACCTGTTTAAAAAAAAATTAAAACCTTAGAATTATATACAGCAAAACCTTTGAAAATACTTATAATGGCACAAGTATACATTTTATTAAAAAATCGTGCTACGATGATCTATAACCAAGCAGACATATTTGCTCTACTAAAGGACACATTATATCTTCAATGTCTGGTTTCCAAACCTCTTATACAGTATACGTGTATCCCTGCCTTTCCATCTAACAAGCTGTTAAAGTGCCCAACAATATGGCTATGTTCTGAGAAATGCCATCTCCCCTCCCCCATGTTTGCAGCTCTTTTTTTCTAAAATGCAGTTTTGAGGAATGTACAGAAAAAGAGTACAGGTAATTAGGGCTGTGCAGAGCATCTGAACGGAATCTTCTGCAAAGCATGTCAGAGTGAGCAAAATAGCCCTCCTTGAAGCATTAAAGCAGCAGTGTTATCTAGAAGGCTCATCATGACTGCTTCAAAGGATTTCTCCATGCATGTGCCTACACAGAAACAACTTCTGCTGGGACTGCAAGTGAAGAGGCTGTGCCTGCACAGGCATGTGGGGACAGCAACAACAGAAGCCTTTCAAATTGCCATGGCTTTGGCTATATCCTTTGAAAACAGTGTCAGCATTTAAAAAAAATATGCCAAACAAAACCACTTGTATCTTCTGGATGCTTTTCAAAGGGATTCTAATCTAACAATATTGCAGTAGCTCCATCTGAATATAAGCAACATAGCTAGCCTACTTCTGTCCACTCAGAATTCAATGGGGTCTACTCCTGAATACCACCCAATGGACAATGATGGATGGTTTCCTGAACCTGGTACAGCTATGGAAGAAGCCTAAGCAGATTAAAATTTATCTTATCCACTAATGTCATCTCGTTGTAAAGAAGCAGTTCAAAATCAGAAAGCACCTCTGAATTTATCTTATTAAGGGAAATTGCAAGAACGCAGAATGTATTCACAGATCTTCTCCTTTCCTTAGAAGTACAGGCAGTCCTCAACTTATGACCATTATTGGGACCAGAACTTCTGTTGCCAAGTGATGCAGTCATTAAATGAGTTGTGCCCAATTTTATGACCTTTTTGCCATGATCATTAAGCAAATCACCTTGGTTGTTAAGCGAATCCAGCTTCCCCCATTGACTTTGCTTGTCAGAAGCCCATGGGAAGGTCATAAATGGCAATCACATGGCCCTGGGACTCTGCAACCATTGTAAATACATACCAGTTGCCAAGCACCCAAATTTTAATCACGTGACTGTGGGGATGCTGTGACAGTCATAAGTGCAAAGACTGGTTGCAAGTCACTTTTTCAGTGCTGTCGTAACTTCGAACAGTTGTTAAACGAATAGTAAGCAAAAGAGGCTACTCAAAATTACTGCCTCATTCATAAAGCTCAGCTGAATTCAAAACTGGTATTCAGAAGTCCAATGGAGAGGTTAGCATGGTGGCGCATTAAAAATATAACTCGAGCAAAAGCAGAATTTGGGGGGCTGCCACTGAAATAACACCATTAACACCGAAGAGTTCTAGTGTTTCTGCCATCTGCAAATGGTGTAATTGAAGAAATAAAAAGAGGCAGCATGACCTCCTCAAAATATTTGGTTCTCATCTCTTGAAATTTCACCTGCAGAGCAGAAGGGTCAGCAGAAATCTTTGTCTCCCTTGGACAAGTCAGCAATTTGAGGAGATGGAAAGAATTAATTATAACTCTTATATATTAAACTATTCCACTGTTGATCCCAAACAAAATTCCATTACCTCCTAAAGTCTGTTGAAAAGGAGAGAAAGAGAAGGGTAACATCACCTGATATTTATCTAAAGCTGTGCCATGATTAAAGAGTAAATTTGTCAAAGAAGTGCAAATTTCAGCTACCAATTAGACATTGATGCACAAAATGGGAGGTCCTGTACAGTTGATTATCAAATAGTTTTTCACCTGGATGAGATTCTGACCAGCAGATATCTTACCACTTCCATCCCAGCATTTGAAGGTTGAAAACAGTCAGACATCTTCTATCCACCAGACGTTTGGGAGATCAAAAGGAATGTTTAAGAACAAAGAGTTTTTATTGTAGAAAAGAGGAAGTGGAACAAATTGGAACATCTACTTTTGTAGACCAGGCACTTCATATCTTGTCATCACTTTATATTTTGCTTGGCCAGCTTAATAATGAAAGTTGGGAATGTGTGTTTGCATGCATGTGATGAACTCAAGCAATTATATTCTAATTTTAAAAAAATTAATTTGACATAAGTCCCTGTCTCAAGTTTCTGACTCTACAGTGGATGATTTCAGCCTTGACAGGTGCTAGCATCTAAATTGTGATAGCATAAATCTCTGCATGCCCCCCCCCCATCAAGAGGGTATAATCCTAGAATATGTGCATGTCTTGCAAACAAAGATTTATGGGAGGAACAGCAGTCCTCTAACACTACTGCCTAAGATCAACTGAGAATCAATAGGAACATAAAACAGTTCTTCCCAATCCCACCATAGGAAAGCAATCCAGGATACCATGGTCAGTTGCGTTAAATCCTCTGGCAATTCTAAAAGAAGAAATAGACTGCACTGTCCCTCTTTGTTTCCCAACTGCTGTGAAAACTGGTAATTTCTTCATCCCAAAGCAAGTCAAGAAGCAAGGTTAAAAAGGTTCCATGTGATCAGCAGCCCCAATAATATTCAAATAAAACAGGCAGGAAAAGAGTAAGCAAACATTTTAAGTAAGGACTCAAGGAAGAAAATTGCAAATGTATTAAAAAATCACACAAAAACTATCTTGGGCCAGACAAAGCAAGAGATGGTTTGCCACCCATTTCCCTACCACATGGATCCAGTTCCTCTTTAAGCACACTAAAGGTTGCTTGCTCAATTGTTGTAGATATGTGACAAATAAGCTTTCCAAATTAACTTGAATCAGATATCAATCATACCCAATTGTTAGGTTTCATATCAACTCAAACATCAAGTTAGGAAAGATCATTCTTTTGTTGTGAAGTACTTTATTACCTGTCATTCAAAGTGAATTCACTTTTTCTTCCAAGCGAATTTGAAAATCTCGCAGCCAGAGGTGCTTTTCTGTGGAAAAAAAAAAGTTGAAATGAAATACACTGACACATAAAGGGTATACACAACTACTGATTTTATATGTTTATCATACTGCTGATAAATCTATTTCAAAAAGACAATGCATACCTTTTAGATTTCACAGCTGGATTTGATGGACTGACCTAAACCAAAATGGAGACAGAGAAACAAGTATTATGCAATTCTTCTATCTTGGAGCTAAATGTTGAAATTTAAAGTTTGACTCAAAATTACAATAGAAAGAAAGACCACTGTAGAGCTTAAAACCAGGAGCTCTGCAAACTGGTCACCAGTTTCTTGTTTCTGAATCAGGAATCTGAATCCGAATCTGAATCTGACTGGCTAATTTACATTGGCTAATTTAATACACTGGCTAATTAAAAGGTAGCTCCTCCTAGTTTGAGCTTCTCAGTCCCCAGTACAGAAAGAGGAGATGAGAGTGGCAAGAAAGACACCTCCAAGATTCTCTGCATTTCCTCCCACAGAACTCATCAATGCACTTCCGGACACTTTCAGCTGCCTCCTTTTTGTCTGTTCTGCGCGGCCAGCTCAGCTTGGTAGTGAACTGCCTTAGAAACTGGGCGCTACAATATACAAATACATTAAATCAATGAATACAGTCATTAAATAATCAATTAAAGGTAGTTGTTTCTGTTTATTCATGGTCCTAGCCTATATAACTTTACAGCCAAATCAACATGTCAAACTGCATAAATAAACGTATATTGCTTATAAAATACAAAGTAATGATATATTTAAAATGCTGTTTACAGATACCTGAAAAGGTGAAGATTCGTTTGGCTGAATGACATCAGTATGTTCAGTGAATGTGTCAGAGGTACACTTCAGTTCTGAATCCAAATCTGTACCACTACAGAATACATTTTTAAAAAATCAGCATAAATACAATCTGGTTTAACAACCATCAACATAAAAATAAAACAATCCTCACAAGTTATCATGATTATATTTCATTTCATTAAGTTTGCTACATATCGGCTTTTCCATATTCTACCCTTTGCTGAATCTCAAGCAAACAACTCACAGTGATATCTATTCTTAATCTAAACTTTTACATTATTATTACAAGTGTGCACAAAATGAAAACCAGGTTGGAATTCTTGGAACCTCATGTCTTGGAAATTTAGCTGAACTATTCTGCACAGGGTCATGATCCATCCAAAGTAAAGTACAGATTACGTAGGCTGTACTTAATGTACTGACACATTTTGCTAGACTTTTATTCTATTTTTGTCTTGCCTGTCATTCTATCACTACTTTAAATGACCCTTTCCTTTATATGAACGTTCCTAAAAAGATAAGTAGTACTGTGCTCTTTTTTTACGCCTGCCGCATATACTTTGAATCTAATTTTTCCATTTGTCTAGAAGCCTAGTTAAGGGAGAAGTTCTAATCAGCCAGGGCAAGCAAATGGTCACTTAAGCCTGCTTCTCTCTAACCTACATGGGGTGATTCTAAAATGCTGGATCCTAGTGGTATTAATCAAAGTTGGTGTTTTTCCTCCTTAATTCTTTCCATCTCCTCACAGATAAGAAAAAGAAAATAATGAAAAAACATAGAAGGGTTCATAGAAGGGTTAGCAGTGTAAGAAGATATTGTCCAGATTCCCTTAACTTCAATGAACATGGGAGAGTTATTTCATAACAAAAGCCTCATATGGAAGCATCTAAATCGCTTTTGAACTGGAAATTCTGGCATCTGCAAGTGTCTCTCTGATAACTAAATCATTGCTCTAAACCAAGCTAGTGTCCAAAATGGGTGTTCTGGGAGGACAAATGAAAGCAGCATGATGTCATAAACTCCACCCCTTTTGTACATGCATCATGATATCACAGGTATATACAAAGGGGTGAAGCTTGCATCAGGATGGCACAATGCTGCTTTCACCATTTTGACAAAAGCTTTACAAGCTACTCAAGATATAAATCAGACAGAGACTGTGTCAGTAAGTGATACAGCTAAAGATGACCAGCCTATTCACCTGAAAGACATAAAAGGAGCCAACATAACCTGCATTTGTAAGGGAGTTCCACAATCAGAATAAAATTGTGGAAAGACCTTTCATATCAACTACCACACCTCTTTTAATTTGTATTCATTATGTGATACTATATTGTTTGTATCATAGTTATGTGTACAGGTATTTTAAAGAAATAATTCAGTATAAACTTACTTCTCAGATGCCCTGCTTGATAGTTTTCGAAAACTAATAGACAACATATCTAAAGAATCATTAACAGGGTTAGCACTTTCTTCTGCCTAGAAAAAAAACAGTAACTGTAAAACAAAAGATCCATTCAGCAAAAGGCAACAATAACAATCTAAGAAAAGGCATGAAAAATCATTTATTTTACACCTAGGAGTTTTAAACATACAGTCACGTGCAATGTGATGTATCAAGAAAAGAAGAAATTACAAGACCTCAGCTGTTACTATGTGATTAATAAACAGTCTAAATTTATCCAGGTTTGTGCTTTGGAGCATCCAATAGGAAAAAAAATCAGGACTTAATAGGAAACAATGGAAAACTGTACTAAATGAGACTGAGTTCCAAATGGACACAGAATCTCAGTATTCAAAATGGTCCCCTGATCTCATTCTTATGAATCAGAAATAGGTGAAACATCCGGTAAATCATCATGAATAAGTATATGGATTCTCCAACCAACACATTTTAATGATCAATCCAGATGTTATTCAGGCATGAATAACTGTGGTCTGGCAAACTGTGTTCTGGGGAAATTATAATTAATGCAACAATTATAATAATTGTTATTAGTAATACAACTATTATTAGTTGTTTACTGGAAATAGTAATAGTAATAAGTTGCTTAGATACAAGTTTTATCTTCACAACTTACTTCTCTGTCACCTTTTACAACAAAAGAATTATGTATAATATTTACATAGCCAAACTTTTGAAAAGGTTGTTTGATATAAAAAGGATATCCGCTTTCTGTATATCAAAAAACTGCAACATAATGCAACCTGTTAACAATTCCATTCCATAGAACTGGAAAACAAATCTTAAGATGGCAATCCTGACTTCTTTTACCCTAGAACATGATCTGAACTATATAGAATATTCAGGAATAAAGGAAACAATAAGTATACATACTCTGAAAGTTGGTGGGCTACTCAACTTTTCATATGCTAGTCTGGCTGCTTCAAGTTTGGCTATTTGAACTTTACTTCCTGTTCCGACATCAAATATTTTATCACCAATTTGACACACATAAGAAAAGCTAGAAGATATAAAAGGAGAGAAAAAAATGGCACTGAGTGTTGTAAAAGAAGGCTGCAGACTTGTTCCTACTTATCTAGAAGTAACTTTCAATAAATCAAAGGGACCTACTTCTGAGTATAAAGGCATAGGATTGAACAGAAAAGCTGCAATTCTATACATATATCTGAAAAGCCCTATTCAAGGCAGTCAGATTTACTTTTGACTACATGTACCTAAAACTGTCAGAGTGCTTCCAGGCTGAGTAATCATCCTTTAAAAAAATACATATCTTATTTATACATAGCTATATAGCAGTATACCTTTTCCTAAATAAATAAATGAATACGTGTAATGCTTTTGGCTCATTTGTTTAATTGGTTCTCTTTATCTAGTTTTAGGACTTGTGTGGAGAACAGATCACGTTTTAGGTCAGATTTATGCAGAAATAATTAAAATTTGAAAGGGTTCACAAACTTTTAAGCACCACTACATATCAACCTAAGTATAGTATCAGAATTAAGAGAAATCACTGTTCCTCTTTATTCTTTGATAACCAGACTGCCTCTAGAATACTATATCCATTTCTGGGCACATTTTAGGAAGGATACTGACAAACTGGAACACGTCCAGAAAAGAGCAACCAAGATGCTAAGGGCCTTGTAAAGATTAGTTGAGGCACTAAGCATGTGTATTCTTGAGAAGGCAAAACTGTGAAGAGACAAGACAGCTGTATTCAAGTATCTGAAAGGCAATCGGACAGGGCAGAATTGTTCGGAATTGTTCCAGAAGAAACAATCCACTAGACTTACAAGGAAGTAGATTTCAGTTGGACATCAAGAAAAAGTTTCTTTCCATAGAGCAGATGGTTTCAGGAGACAGTGAACTCTCTTTCACTGGCAGTGTTTAAACAGAGTCTGGATGGCCATCTATTAGGGATTCCCATATAGAGCAGGGATGGACTAGATCACCTCCAACCTTTACATTCTATGATGGTATAATCCTGCTTGTCTTCTAAGCCTAAACAAGGCTAGCTAAGATGTGCAGAGTTAAAGTACAAATAACAATTGTCTATTATTTATGGCAGGTCTGATTACTGGAGGGCTAGAAGACCAAAGTGTCAAATTACTAATCTGGATAGACATGCCCTCTGAGAAATCAGCCTACTGGGTCTATCCTTTGTTTTTCTTCACTGGCTACATCCAGAACCCATTTTCTACAAGCAATAGGTGTGGCAATCATCACTATGATTTTACTTAATAGCTATACTGTAGATGCCAAAAAGCAAGTACAGTGGTACCTCTACTTATGAACTTAATCCGTTCCATGACTCTGATCGCAAGTCGAGTGGGTCGCAAGTCGAAGTAAATTTTCCCATAAGGTTCAATGTAATTACCGTTAATCCGTTCCGGTGTCCGCGGACCACACAGCAGGGGGGGAAAAACGGCCACTGACCATGCGGCAGGGCGGAAAAATGGCCGTGGACCACATGTCAGGGGCGGAAAAATGGCTGCGGACCACGTGGAACGGGCGGGAAAATGGCCACGGACCACGTGGAACGGGCGGAAAATGGCCGCGGACTACGTGGCATGGGCGGAAAATGGCCGTGGACCATGTGGAACGGACGGAAAATGGCCGCGGACCACGTGGAACGGCCGGAAAATGGCTGCGGATCCGGTTCGTAAGTCGAGGCAAGTTCGTAAGTAGAGGTAAATTTTTGGGGCCAGAGCTGGTCGTATCTTGACATTTTCGTAAGTAGGGGCGTTCGTAAGTAGAGGTACCACTGTATAAGTTGATTTTTCACAAGAGTGCTTGCACATTTTGATAGGACCACACACTTGGAAGAGGCCATTTATCCATTCAGTCCCATCCCCTGCTCAATGGAAGAATCCACATTCAAGCTTCCCTGACAGATGGTCCAATGCAAGGGAGCCCATCAATTCTCTGGATAATTGGTTCCACTTTCAAATGGCAATGATTGCAGAATCTGGCTTCCATAAAGCCATTATTCTGTGTCCTGCACTCTCAAGTGACAGAAAGTCTTATCCTTCTGTGTGACATCACTTCAGGTATTTTAAGAGTGCTATCATACAGTTTTACCTCCTTAAAGTTAAACATTCTCACTTCCTTCACTGCCTCTTTGTGGGATGTAATTTCTAGCCTTCTCCAAGCCTGTTTCAGTTTTTCTGAATTCATAAAGCATGGTGGTCAGAACTGGAAAAAATACTTGAGGTGGGGAATAGCCACCAAAGCAAAACTATTACTTCCCATGATTTTGAAACTATATTCCTGTTGTTGCTGCCTAAACTCGAAAATTTTTTTGGTGCAGCAACATCACCTGCTGGTTCACACATTCTATAAACGGTAAGGTTTAGTTTGGGCTTAGTGTGATATGTAAATACAGCCACTAAGATTTATAAACCACGGTTTATGATTAAGCATACATCATTAACCCAACCATTATTCAAGAAAACATTGTCAAATAAAGCTATGGCTCACTGCAATGTGTGAACCAGTCCTCTATGAATAAAATTCATTAACATTTACATATCTCAAGAGCATGATTATTTAAATGCAAAAAAACCCTAACAAATTCAAGATCAAATATTATCAGTAACTCACACTGGTATATGTTCCAACCCAGTTTTAGATATCTGATTATACTGAACAGGTACTTTCTTCTTCAGTGCATACTCATTAAGCAAGGAAACATAGTTAACTGAATTTGAAGATGAAACTTCAGGAGAACCTGCGGCAGGCGAGGTTCCAGCAGGTTGTGGTGGTGGTAAATATGACGGAACAGGCGATGGCTCCTGGTGCTGCTCCCGTGAATCTGGCATAGCCTACCAAAAATAAGCATACCTTAGCCTGCTTGAGAGAAGAGTAAGATTATTCTCTGAATTCCTGCTCAATAGACAGATAACCAGCTCTTAATTTACCATCTCATATTTTAGGCTGGCAACACATACTGCCGTATTTTTGACAGAAGTATTGTTCTGATTTAGCAAAAAGTGCAGTGAACAACACAAATGTACATCCAAGGCAAACAATGAGAAGACAAAGACAGACCTTATTTGTAACCCCAAGTGAATTATGTAAACCATATGTGGGTTGAAGAATTGCATGAGTTTTAGCAAGCTTTGGACTGGGGGGAAGATAATTTGAAAGCTGGGGTTTATAGTGAGGATGAAGCAAGAAGGAAAGATTTTGTAAGACTAGCAGAGAACTTTAATTAATTTACTGGCCAGGCAACAATCTACATATTTAATCAGGACTATGAATTATCCACTCGGATCTGTGCTAGGTATTGTGAGATAATGCATTTAAAAACAATACTTTATTCCAGGTCCAGGACATGAAGATGGGGGTGGTGAAGGCTGTTCCTTGAAAAAAGATTTCACATCACATAAGCTATTCTTAGGAATTAGAACTGCCTGGATAACTGATGTACCACTTTCATCCAAGGTGTAAGAATTATCTCCTCAGGATGGATTTCTACAATGTAGTCAGCTTATCCTAACCAATTCCAGTTTGGAGATCTACACCCCAGAAAAACTTTTATTTAAGCAGACGCTGCTATATATTTATATGATGAGCCTTCTTACAAACTCTTGTCCATCACAGCCACAAAGAGGGGCAAGAATTACTTTTCCTTTAGAAGACAGACAGACAGCCTTTTACCGGGGAGGTTGAGGTCACATTTAGAGAAAGGCAACAGCCAAAGTGGGTAGGGTTTGTCTAGGTTTGGGGTGGATTAGAAATTTTTCTTTTAAAATACTGTTTCAAACATATTTCAGGAATGAATCTAGTTTTCATGTTTCTCACCTCAGATTGGGAGAGAACTGCCAATCCTCTGACTGAGGGGACTACAGGAGCTTCAGAACAGGGCTCCACGAGGCTTCAAGGCCATGAGTTGACCACCTCGGTCATAAAGTCAATTTAGGCATTCCCCAGGCAGTCTGTGGTTAGGAGGGGAGCTTTCTTTTAGTTATTAGCTCCAGGTAGCTGATTCTGAGGACTAGAGAAGTGAAGCTTACAGGGGAAGGGGGTGTTAACTTTTATGCCACATTTCCCCTGGAAACCCTGCCCTTTTTGCACAGCATGAGAGTTTTTCAGCTGTTCCTAGGTACTACTGTCAGGGGCACATGACTTTGTGTCAGCTGAGGCACTCTCTCTGCAAAATGGTAGAATGCAACTCTCTCACCAAGTTGTTTTTTCTCTGTCAAGCAACATTTCTCAAGGTTGCACAAAAAGGTCTTTTGGTTCCTTAAAACTAACAGATTTATTGTGGCATAAGCTAAAAGCTCACTTTATCAAAACTCTGTTTCCACCTTAAGCCTATGGGAAATGCCTGGAATTGCCACACCCAACCTATGCAGTAATTAGAGAATTTGGGTTAGATTTGAAAAAGTAATGGAGTATAGAGAGTAAGGAAGAGGACCTTGACAGAGGTATGCAAGAACTGTTACCAAGGCAAAAGGGGCTGAAGCATTAAGTCCACAAAAATGAAATAACATTTGGAAGTGTCCCAGGCACTAAGGATAATGCTTCTTTAAAACTCATGTTCTATACTTACTAAGTTTTGGGAGAGAGTAGTGGACTACATAAATATGACTGGGAGACAATAAGCTAAAATTTTCAGAGGATAATATTCTCTTGAACTAAATACCTAGTACATGGAATTTGACAACTGGACAGCGTAAATGGATTCTCCATGCCCTTACTACGGCTAAAAGACTGATACTGCAGCATTGGAAAGATAAATGTATGGCCTCATTTACTCAGTGGATTGAAGACTTAATTACACTTGCCACCTACTTGCTTATAGAAGTAGACTTTGTATAGACGAGTATAATGAAATATGGAACTCATTTATACAGAATACAGTAGGTTAAAGAAGGATGATAGTTGTATAAATGTATTAGAAATTAATATATATGTACTTGAATAATATTTACATTAGGCAAGTATATACAGAATTGCAACTGTTGTTATAACAATATATTATACTTTGTTTCTTTTTTGTTTTCTTTTCTCTGTTGTATTTTTTCCACTTTTTTTAAAGCACTTTTTAGGTGTAGTGTTTTTTCTCTGAAAATGTATGTATTTGCAATATAATTATCTTTGTGCTTTGTTTCTTTTCTTTTTCTGTTATTGTTTTAAAAGCAATAAAACTAAATAAAAATGATACTGGAATACTTTTTTTTTTTTTTTAATTACTATTTGACGAAATCATGTTACCGAACGGTTTATGCACCGTCAAGTTTTGGAAAAGCTATTTGTAGGTGCAGACACTGCCATAGCAATGCTATGCTTGTTGCCTTTTCCACGACAAACAGAAATGCACGCAGAGGGCAAACTAGAGCATAGGGTGATCCTGCTGTCTCCTGATAGGAACCCCAACTATCTAAAGTCAAGGCATTACCTCTCTCAGTGGGAATATGCACCTGGTTGCCCAGTCCTGTGGTCTAGGTTTGCATCTGCAGGTACCCCTCAACTTACCTTCTTTTGCTTCTCTATGGCATCCCAAGCTAATTTAGCTGCGACAGCTTTTGCTTCTTTCTTGGATTTACCAGAGGCTGGGCTATATTGGATCATGTCGATTACAACTGCTACCGTGAATCTACAGTGAAGAAAGTGATTTATAATATATTGGGGGCAGGGAGAGGAGATGCATCATCTGCAAAATACACTCCATTGTACAATCTACGCCTCCCGTTTTCTCCACCACCAGAAGAAGTTAACAGCAGGATAATCTTGGAAGACACAACCATCATTTGTTTCCTTTTTCTCTAAAATGACCTGGGGGGGGGGGTTTAATGAAATCTCAGTTTCCCTAAATCCCAGTAGGGGATTCTGATAGGAGAACAAAACTATTTTCTTTGAACTACATTTCCATTCCTGTCTTTATCTTGAATCCATCCTTCTCACTAAATGCTGGGCACCAAGACCAACAACAGAGCCACTCCTTGTTTAGTGACTACCTCGATTAGGAACCATTTGCAATTACAACAGCAATAATAATAATAATAAAAATTCATTTTCTGACCAATGCATGCATTTATGACCAAATTTTGAGTGCCTGTCAACAGAAGCCTTCAATATGAAACTGATTAAGTTTCAGGCAACAGGACCCAGCCTGCCAGAGAGTTCTAACCAACTAATTAGGTTACAGAGCTGAACTTGTTAACTTGCAGTTAGCACTTTTAAGGGAAGCACTGAGCTGAGAAAAGCAGCTCAGGAAGAGATACCTTGTTTAAGCAATTTCTCCACCCTGCAAGGAGGCAAAAAAAGTGGGGAAAAAACAGGTCAGGCACAGGACACTGTACGAGAGAACTTTAATCTGATTGAGTTGGCAGCAACCAGTGATCTTCACAACATCTCTCTCTCTCACTATCTCAGTCACATGGTTCACTTAGTGACCATTTCACTTAATGACAAAGTTGCTGGAATGGATTGTGATTGGTAAACAAACAGTGGTTCTTAAACTGTTTGACCCAATTACCCCTTTTCCCAGTCTCAATAAAGTCATTATCCCCACCAAAAAAACCCAGACTGCTCCATTACCCCCAGGATATACCCAAATTACCCCCTTGGGTAATTACCCCCAGTTTAAAAACCACTGACCTATAAGCTAATGAATAATTTTTTTGAATTTAGAAACTGGTATCAGGAGAGAATAAATAAAGCTGTGTAACTAGGAACATGTATCACCTCTTCCCAAAAGTAGGAATAAGATTTGGGATGTAGAACAAAAGTACAGAGAAGAAAATTTGGATTAGTCCAGAGAAGTTGTCAAAATTCAGAAATATTTCACGCTAGCAAGGCTACTGGACAGTGGATGGGGAGAAGAGATGGGAAATGGACAGTTGTTGACTGTTATGAAAAACATCCTGTTCCACAGCATACATATGGGAGGGGAGCGTTGCCTCTTTTATCACCTCTGGATATTCTTCATCAACTTACATACGATTATGAGGTGGGCCTCTGATAGCAATGTCTTTATACTCCAATTTTAAACTGTTCTTCTGGCAATGTTCATTAAGTTTTGCCATGCACGTACGCGAGTCATGATGGTTGTCAGACATGTTATCGCCTAGGAGAAAAAAAATTACAGCAGGAATGGTTACCAGCAACTCCCTAAGCATAGCAACAGACTAATGTTTTTAATGCTTTAGCACCTTTTCATGATCACTTGGACAGCCATATTCTGGACCAGTTATAGGTTCTGAATACCATTCAAGAGTAGTCCCACGTAAGTTACATTGCAACAGGTAACTAAGGCATGAGTGACTGTGAATAGGGCTTCCCAATACAGTAAACAGAGGACCCATGAATCCACAGCTACTGAGTTTCACTAGGGTTAAGCCTGAGCCTGTTCTTCCCAATCCAGACACATAACAGCCCCCCAACCAGGAGACCGATCCTCAACAGCCTCTCTTGGCCAGCCAGGTGTTGCAATAATACAACTGGATATCAAATATCAATTATTGATACCTGAACCCATACTGGTAGATGACCCTGCCCAGTAACCTCGTATAGATGCTAAATAGAACCAGGGAGAACTGGCTACCAGTTTGGCTGGTTTTAAAAAAGGGTTGGACCAATTCATGGATGTCATGGCAATCAATGGCTACCTTGATTGCAGTGTGACTGTCTCTGAATGCCATCTGCGGGGAGACTATGGGCTTCCTTGTGCAGTTAGTTGGCCACTGTGAGAACAAACTGCTGGACTAGATGAGGGGTCTGATCTAGCATAGCGTGGCTTTTGTTATGTTCATTGAAATCTCAAGAACCTCACAAAAAAGTATCTTGAGCTTTATCTCTTCCCCTATTACCAAAATGAACTGGAACCTTCCTCAGAGAAAGGAGAACCACTGAAATACAGTGCCTCCCAATCTCCAAACACAGGCCAGAAGGATACCATGACCAGCAGTATCAAAGGTTGCCCCGAGATCAAGCAGGACCAGGTCATCCACACCACCCCTACTGCTAGAAGTTGTCCACAAGCACAATCAATGCCATTGTGAGAGACTGAGAAACAAGAAGGGTTGTTCAGTTAGTGTGAGAAGCAGCAGCACAGCCCAGATATGGGGACCAGGAGAAAGAAATATTTTAAAGAGATTCTACCTTAATTGATTTGTTATAAGGCTGCCTTGGGATTTATTTTCACAGTTTTCAAGATCACTTTTACACTGACTAGCATTAAAGATGCCTCCTAAATTCTGAGTGAGTCTCACTTAAATTTATCAGCTATGTGCAGCTTGACAGCCATGTCCATACTATACTGGGGCCTAAAACCTGACAGAAGAGATAATCTACTTTGTCCAGGCCCCTCTGAAACTGAAGCTCTCTCTACAACCTCCCCCAAGGTTGGGGACTAGTCAGAAATTATCCGACACTTCTGGATTTAGCTATGGCTTCCTGAGGAGAGGGGGCACTACTGTCTCCTATCTAAGTGAAACCATCCCTTCACTCAAAGATGAATTGACCCAGCCACACTTTGCTTTCTGGGCAGCTTTAACCAATCAGGGTGGACATGGATCTGATGTACAAGTGGCCATGTTGAAAGTCTTAAAAATCATGTCCACTTCCTCAAGATTCACAGGCTCAAACTTCCCACAGGTAACAGGACAAGATCAAACCCCAGTCAACTTGGTAGGACTTACCCAACCAGAGTCCAACTCAGATTAGATCTGAATGAATTTATCCAACCATTTATAAGATATTCTTCATTCTCCTTCTTCCCTAAAAAGGTCCACCAGTGGGCAATCTGTGGGCACAATACGTTTTGCCACTCTTCTTGTCTCGTTGTAGGTCTTACTACTATTGGAGATGGAGAACCTGTGACCTTCCAATTGTTGCGGAACTACATTTTCCATGGTTCCAGCTGCCATGGCCAATGATAATGGATGTTGGGAGTAGTTCTTCACTCCCATTTTAGGATTAAATAGCTTGCAGTTCCATTCCTAGTATTCATATATTTGTAATTATTATTTGAATATATATTTTTAATTTTATAAATATATAAAACAATACTTTCTATCTTTATCTGGATCCAGCTTTCAGTATAACCCTTTACACCACTGACCAATGTAGGCTGCTAGAAACTGTTTTCCTCTGCCCCTACTCTATGAAGGCTAAAGACATATACTGAAAGCCTGTACTTTTACACTGAAATGGAGGTTTCAATAAATTCAGTAAAAATTATTCCAAAGTATTCACAGAACTAAAGCATGATGTACTTTGATTTGCTATGTCAAACTAAACTAGAGGACCACACAGTAGTGTTGGGATGTGCAGGGACAGCAGAAACGTCTCTATCAGCAGTGACCTTCTGTGCACAATACAGTAAGCAGTAAAAAAAAAAAAACCCACTAAATTCTGTTTGTTAGTGTGCCACCATTATCAACCATCATGCCTATTATTTATCTGCAATTTACCATACTGTCTTATCATATTGTCCAGAACGAAAATGAAGGCCATCTTCAAAATCCAGATACCAGACTTTGTACTCAAGATTTGCTATTGTTTAAGATGTATGTTTCTGGCCTCAACAACTGTACAGTATTCTGAGTTTGGACAAAAAACAAACTGCAAACTTCAGTTACACAGCTGTGTGCCATTTGGGAAGGGGAATAGCAAGGCAGTGTAGGCTCCTAAGATGCAAAACAACACTTAACATGTCTCACAAGCCTAGAATCCAAATCATCCACCAATCCTCTACAGCAGTGTTTCTCAATCTTGGCAACTTTAAGATGCGTGGACCACAATTCCCAGAATTCCCCAGCCAGCTGGGAGTTGAAGTCCACACATCTTAAAGTTGCCAAAGCTGAGAAGCACCGCTCTACAGGGTGCAGGAATCCAAATTAAACTACCTCCACCAGATGACTGTTCGGCCTTTGCTCGAACGCAACCGATCGGAGCACCGGGAAGAGACCGGGAATTTCCCAGGGGAATCGGTTGGATCGGCGCGGAGCCCTTCCTCAAGAATCCTTGAGCCGAAAGTCGAGCGGGTGTCTATATAAATAGATTTTTAAAAAGACCTAAATTGGACAAATAAATAACGTCAGCGCGCGCGCTCGCACCCCTCCTCCCCCCTCATACATACACACACACCCTTCAGCATTTTTTCAAGGGAAAGGGGCCCTTTCCAGAGCTGCAAGACCATTTTAGCGGCCGGCTAAATTCGCAACTCACGTTGGGTGGGTAGGCCTTTCCTGCAAAGGTGCCACTGCTTCTGGATTTGGGGATGCCTCCCGGTCCCCAGCAATGGCGGGCAGCCAATCCCCCTCGCCTCCCGCCGCTTGAATACTCACTGAGGCAGCAGAAGCGTCGGAGCTCGGCAGCTTTCGTCCTTTTCCTCCAGCTGAGCGCAGCAAAGGGGCAACGCTGCTCCTTCGACTTTCGTTTCTTCGAAGATACTGCGGCCACTTCCAGCCGCAGCCAAAATCTCCGCCTTCTGCGCGAAGACAATCCAACCCACCAGAAAATCGAAATCGAAAGTGAACTTTCTCCCGGCGGGGAAGCTCAGCGCTCCCAGCTGCAGCCGAGGGTTTCCCAGGCGGGGCTCCTGGCGGCTGGGGTGGCGAGCCGTCACGTGAAGGGGAGAAAAAGGCTCGTCTGAAATGCCAATGTTTCGCACTGTTTACGGGAATGAGGCGGGGAAACCTGCAAAAGGAGATGGCTTGACCATAAGAAAGTCTCTACTTGGGAGACACGCTGATGAGTCCAACCCAAAATCACTGAAGAGTGTGCCAGTTTTGATAACGATGCTGTAAATGGTTTCACGCATAGATGTTATGGAGGGCGTAGGAGCTAGTGGGAGCTGTGATCTCACGATAGGATAAAGGGTGGGTTACTCCTGGACTTCAGCAAAGGAAAGAAAATTAAAATCCTGCTAGCTAAGCTTGGATGAAACTTAGCAGGATGGGAAGCTGGAAAGCAGCAGCAGCGGCAGTGTTCTCCTCTTGTCTGAAATTACAAAAACAAGGAAGAGATAAAAAGAACTTCTCTTCAGGAATTCCTTAAACAGCAGCTCCAAGGAAGTTGGCTTCTTGCTGGGAGAGTTCTTGGAGGAGGTCAATGTCCAGTGTCCCTGTTAAGCAAAGACTAGAAGAATCCATTCACGTATCTTGATCCCAAAGGAGCACTGTTAATCATTTCTGTCTTGAAAAATAAATTGATGGAAAATGCCCACTTCCAAACCACTTTCCCTTTCCATCCTGAATCCAGTTGAAAACAACCCTGAAACGGATCTATTTTCAGTTCTATTCTGACAGCAGGACACTATGAACATGAGTATACATTTGCAGGTCTAGAGGTCACAGGAAACAGCCCATCCGTGCTCATTGGTGAAAGAGTTACTTGAGTGCTTCGTTGCCCCTGCCCCCACCCCTCTACTCAGGCGAGTGTTTAACAGCTATGCAACCTCCCCTCACAAAATAAAAGAGAATAAACTGCTTGTACCTGAAAGACCAGGTTGGGGACAGATCATCATGGAGAAAGTCTATCTATCTGGTCGCTAAGAGTTGACTCCAGCTTGATGGCACATAGTCCGTCAATCAATCAATCAACCTGCTCTAAGGACAAAGATCAATGGATAATTCTTTGCCATCCATTATACTGGAGAAGAGGCCAAGTGACCTGTCAAAGATATGGCAAGAGGTGAGGTATAAAAGGCACAGACATGCTTCATGTCCTATGATTATGAACCTGCACTGAGGCAGCAATTTCTCTTTCAGTACTTGATCTCTCTATCACTTCTCTCCTCCCTATTTTTCAACTCAACTTATTTTTAGACTTTCAATGAGGCACAGAAAAGGACAACAGAGTTCCATATTTTTTCCATCTTTATTCAGTACCAAAAGCACTCCTGCTTTTCCTCATCATAACATCATGAAAACAATTAGACATATTGAACTGGACTTTATCAGTTGTCAATTTCCCTGTATCAGTTTGGCTCACTTTCCTCCCGAAATAATGAAGAAGGTGTTAAGGTTGCCCAACAGCTAATCCACTGCAGTCATCGATCTTTACAGGAGCTAGGTAGCCCCAAAGTCATGGGGGTCTATTTCTGCCCTGATTTTTCTGTGTGTCTCATTACAGTTATCCAAATTAGAAAACAAACTGTTGGTATTGCTTAGTTAATTTACCAATTTTTGTATATAATGTCTAATTTTATGGAACATCTTTCCATATATTTCATTTTACATTATTTTAAAATTTTACATTATGTTTTAATTTGTGAGGTGACCAAATGGCATGTGGGAAGAAAGGGTAGACAACCAGCTTAGAGAATTCCTAGTGAAGTTTCAAAATTGTAGAGTTGTACAATAAGGCCAGGCTCGCCCGATACATGCTTCTGAGCCTTGATTGTGGGTAAATGTGCTGAAGGGAGTTGGCAGTAATGTCAGAGGAGAAAACTAATGAGGTTACCTATAACTAAAACACCTGAAATCAGGTTAACATGACTTAGCTTGGAATCTAGAAGGCAGGAAGGAGATTGGTGGTGGGAAGACAATGCTAAGTTGACTGTGCTTTATTCTGATATTATAGCTGTGTGGTGCTTAAATCAATATTGGGAAAATGGCCTATGATTCTACCCATTGCTCTCATTCAATTTTCTGATAATGAATGGATGGTCAGGGACTGATAATTGTCTTTGTGAATTAGGGCATTATATTAATCATTTCAAGCATACAAAACATGCTTCAGACATTACCCAGAAATCTTCGCAGCAAACTTGAATGGAAGGTCAGTATTATTAATATATTGCAGATTTGCTAAAGGAGACTGAAATAAAATAACTTGTTCGTTCTGAAGATATTTATATCTTTACAGCAGAAGCAAGAAATGAATAGTCTTATTTATTTCTTATTTGGTAAATGTATATAGCTACCCATCTCACACACATGACTCTGGGCAGTGTACAAAGCTAAAAATGCAAAAGCAATAGAACAAAATAACAGACTTCCAGGGAAGCAATGGCGAACTGAAGAACCACAGCAGAACAAGTCGACAAATGGACTGGCTTCTCAGAATTTCTCTCTGGACAAGGAGAGGACTCAGGATAGCCCATAAGCATTCCAGACAGTAGCTCTCCACAAGGAGACTGTAAGACAGCAATCTCCAGAGGGTTTAGAGCTCTGGGAGCCGAGGGATTGCCATCTTTGCCCAAGCCGTGGTTTGGCACCTTCAAAAGGACACTGGGTTCACATACTTCCTTTCTTAATAAATTCTGGAAATTGCTTGTTAACTGCTTTTTGGAAATTAGGAACCTTCAGAATGGCAAGTTTCATTACACTGTGTGAGTTTCCTTCAATCCTTAATGAAAGACGTTTTATGCAAGTTTAAGGACTTAAAAAATAATTTTGGGGTAAACAGCAAAAGGATGATTAGAACATTGATTTTGGAAAGTTATGAACAAACTAAGGGGCCAGATGGACTTGAAATAAGTTTTTGAAATAACTACAGGAATCCTTCCTGTGGGAAAATGTTGTTGTTTAGAACTTTATTTTAAAAAATATGAAGATTTTGAAATTAAGTATGAGAAATCTTTCCATGGGAAAACGCTGTTGATTAGAAAAAAACATGATAAGATGGGACTTTGAAGGTTGGATACTAGAGAGAACCAGAAAGAACTAAAGATTACAATTAAAGGAGAAGAGCTAATACAGCATGGAGCAAAATATTATAAGCGGGAACTTATAATCATTTGTCTGTTAAATTAGTATTTTCCCTCTCTGCTAAATGGGGCATGCTTATCTTACTGTGCCTTCAGTATCTCATTTCATAGATTTTCCCATTCTTCCTGGACCCTTTGCTCCTTAAGGATTAAATCCAGCCTATCTTCCAGCTGAGTTCATTAGAATCCTCTTTTCTGAAGTCTTGTATGCAGGGCTGACTCTTTTGAGCTGTGCCTCTTTCGGATATAATGAATTCAAGGATACTATGAACACTTCTCCCCAAGGTGCCTCCTCTTCAACCAATCCCTCCCTGTTGGTAAAGATTAGATCTATAATAGCAGAGCCCCTTGTTTTTTCTTCTACAGTATTTTCTGACAAATGAAAATGTCAGCAAGAGAAGACAAGAATCTGTTGAACCTCTAACTCTTGGCAGAGTTAGATATGACAAAAGTGTTTGTGGATTACAATTCTGCATGAAAGGCAGGTAAATGCTGCTTCAAAAGGGATAAAATTGTTGTGTCTTTGAAGTATGACAGTTATTAAAAATATAAAAGACAATTTTGTAATAACTTTCACAGCATTTACATGCTAATTTCCAAACCCTGTTTCCTATTTGAAAGTTAAAAATTAGATTGAGTAAACTTAAAGCAAAACCAAAAAAAAAATCCTTTTAATATATATATATTATTTTATTATTTTACACCATTTAATTTCTCATTTAGAAAATGCATATTTAAGTGACTAAAAGCCATTATTTCAAAAGTACAAATTTTAAAATTTGCAATATTTATCATATTTTAGTTTTGCACCCAGTTTAGTCCCAGCTAAACATGCTTCAAATTTTGCATCCATTTCTTTGCTCTGGGCTTCAGTGAACAAAGTTTTCCAATCGCCCACTTCACCTGTACAGGACCAATGAAAAAAACAATTATTTATGTCTTCATCTATAAGAGTTCAACATTCTGAAAGATCTTTGGAATATGGAAACATGCATAATTTATATGGTTTATAATGTATTCCTATGCAAGTCTACAGTACTCAAAAATAAGAACTGTGGAATTTAATGGGTTTTCTAGATAGTAATGCTTTATAGCCTAAGACACTTGAGAATAAACTAAGTAAGGTGATAAGTGGATTATCTCCTAGTAAAAAGCATATAAAATATTTACTATGCTATTGTGCTATTGTTTATATACTTACATCACGTCTATATTACTATCCATTTTTTTTAAAAAAAACTTTATATGGAAACATCTTTTTCAGACAAGGTAGAAGAATGACTGATCTTATTCTGGCCCTTGGTGGATTACCTATTTGGGGAGGAGCTACAACATCCATGGGATTTATGTCGTTATATTCATACAACATAATCCTAATTACTGAAATAACATGTATTAAGTCTGCAGAATATACTGAGCTATAAATTAACCAAATTCACACAATATCTTAAGCACACACACACACAAAACCAATTTTAAAATTTACAGTGCTTCAGAAATTTTGCAAATGTGTTTGCTAGGTTTGTAGTTGACCTAATTAAGTGTAGTATGTGTTACCAAATGACCAATATAAAAGAAAGAAGATAAAATTGCTCTAGCCTGGGTTTTCTTTGGGATGCTAACTACAGAGCCATCTATCTTCCTCACTTGAACTTTTTTTAATATATTTTTTTATATACTCCAAGTATGTGGGGAGCATAGTTATGCTGGTTGCAAATTGTATTCACACTACATTTGTTGGACATGAACTTGGAAAAGTTGCTCCTCAGCTTTGCTAATGGGTTGCTTTTG